CTGGGGAGCCGCGCGCGACCCCCTGCTGCCCCGTCGCGGCGCCCTGGGGAGCCGCGCGCGGCCCCCCGCTGCCCCGTCGTGGCGCCCTGGGGGCCGCGCGCCGTCCCCCGCGCCGTCCCCCGCGCTCCTGCCCTGTGCCACCCGTTTTAGGGTTTGGGGGTGGCGAGTGTGGGGGTGGCGGTTATGGGGGTGCCGGGTGTGTCCGCCGTCCCCTGCTCCTCCTCCTCCTCCGTCTCCCGCTGCTGCAGCTGTCGCTGAGGGGGGTGGGTGTGTGGGAGCCGAAGGAGTGGTGCTAGGGGGGTGACGTGGAAGTGGAGCTAGGGGTGCAGCAAGGAGTGTGTGAAAAGGGGGGTGGGACAGTTGGGGGAGGTTGAGCGGAGGCTGCCGTCTTGTCGTCCGCAGCACCTGTAGTCCGGGGCGCTGTCCTGGTAGCCCAGAGAGCCTGATGCGCCTGTCGCCCGTGGGTCCGTTGCTCCTGCCGCTCCTCGTAGCCGCCGAGCCAGTTACTCCAGTAGTCCGGGGCGCTGTTCCGGTAGCCACTGTGCCAGCCGCTCCTGTTTCCCGTGTGTCTGCAGCTTCAGCCGTCGCCTCCTATCTTCTCTCCTCTTACAGTCCCGCCTCCTCCTCCTCACTTGCCCTTTGTGAATGCCTCTAGCTTTGCTTGCACTTGTGAACCTGCTCTATGACTGCTTGCTCTGCTGATTATACCCCACTTTGACTATGGGGGTGTGTCAGAATGTAGTTTGTCTAGCCTGCAGTGGGGTACTCTGTAGTGAGTACGACCCCTTAGGGTTTCCTATATGTATCCTCCTGCTTGCTAGTGAACATCCTCCTTTCCTCATTTCTCTCTTGCCTAGCTAGGTAAACCCTAGCTATGGCTCCTCCTTGTGCCTGCTCTTCTGACAAACGAGTCAACAGCCACGCAACCGACCATCCACCGAGTCAATCATCGCATTTGAAATATAATATTAAGTCATCGCGTACTTGACCGACGTGGAGCCCGGCGCATAGAGTTTTTGATTCACTGGAGAGACCGAACACTAACTGAAGACAGCTGGGTCCCCTAGGACAAACTTGAAAACCACCCCGAGTATCTGCGCAGCAGGAATTTTTGCGACATCCACGCGCTTTCACAAAGGCCTCTCTTAGGGAGGGGGGTAGTGTAAGGAAACAACTTTTCCTTACTTCGTGTCACACATCATACCGCGTACATGACTACCTCACAGTAATCCGTTACCACTTCGCGACACTCGCTTCGTCACTATTACCGCCACCATGACCATCGCGTCCAAACCACCCAGCTCGGCTGGTAACCTCGGCGCTAGGCCAGTAGAGCAGCCCTTCGCGAGCTCGTTACCGTTATCGGGTGCTTTTGCTATTTAACAATTCGTGCATGCCTGCGCTCAAGTAGTGCAATTCTCGCTCGGTCACTCAATTGCACTCGTAAAAGCGTTCACACGTACTTCCCCACCATGGACTCGAGTATAATGCGTGTGGGAGGTGAGTAAAAGGTGGGAATCCCCGCAAAACGTATTCGCCATGCCGGGGATCGAACCCGGATCTTCCGCGTGACAGGCGGAGATACTGACCATTATACTACATCGACATATGAAATATGAAATTCTAAAAACATTTTGAAGGAAATAATTGTTTCTTTGGGGGAAGGCTTCTAGAAAATGAAATTGAAGAGAATAGAGGATATCATCAAACTCAAGGCTGTAAGATGTTACTGTATTCCCCTGGAAAGACCCATGTTAATAAAAATTAGAGGCATAAGAGTGGTGGAGGAGGAACTCCAATGTTGCAGCCTTTTTAGCTTTCTCTGAATACAGGTATTGCCAATGGGGGGAGGATGGGAGTGAGATCAAGGAGACTGGAGGGAGATCAAGGAGACTGGAGGAGACATAGGAGTGCAGGGTAGCAAATCTGGGATGGCATAGCCTATTAAGGAGGAGGTCGGCAGGGTGGGAGAGTGAGTGAGATAAATAGGAGGATTCAGGGGGGGGCAAGGGGGGTGGTTGGGTTCGTGGAAGGGAGAGCGGGAGGGGAGGGGGGGAACCTGAAGCGTGTATTGACGAGAATGAGGGAGAAGGGGAATAATGGAGATGAGGTGACAATCGGGAGTGCGGTATAGCGCACAATGTTCAGCTCGACCTGGGAAAACGATGGTGATGCCAGCTGCTCGGGGGGTATTTGAAAGAGAAGATGGGTGAAAAGGGAGGAAATATGGAGCCTATTGAGAGAGTACATGAGGGAAAGAGTGGACAGGGGAGAAAAGAGGTGTCATGACAAGAGATGAAGAAGCTGTTGTTGGCACTGGGGAGGAAGGTGGGTGTGTGGAGGGGATGCAAGGTTCCAGCATCACGAAGGACAATGCCAATGGCTCCAGTTTTCAAAACGAAATCAAGGGCGGAGGAAGGAGAGACGTAATATTGGAACATTTTTTTTCGATATATAGCAAGAGCATACATTGGAGATTCAGCCGATGCACGTTGACTAAGCAAGCAAACAAAGTTAGAAACGGGTCACACTCCCACCCAGAAAAAATGAGCAGCGGAGATAGCACTCCCTACAATTAAGCCATAAAAGGGCTACTGTTGGGAGATGGGAGTAGGAGCGAAGAGAGGCATTTGCGGCTATCAGACAAATACGGTGCTGCCCATATTCGTGCGACACCTGCTGCACAATCCAAAGCTGTTGTTGCGGCTTCGACTAATGTGTGTGCTACTGGGAAGGGGTGAGGGCTTTGACTTGGGTGGGGGTGAGAGGTTTGTAGAGGGGAGGGGTGCGGACAGTGATCGACGCCGAATTCAGGGAGGAAGTCGACAGACTTGGTCGACTTCTGTAGGACCACTGCCAAGTCGCCGACGAGGTGAAGTCGGCGGCCGGCTTTGACTTGGGCGGTCGACGAAGGTGTTCATCGACCTGCAGGCGCCGAGTTGTGGGCGCCGTAGGCATTATCTGGTTGACACGGTCACCTGGTCGACAATGTTCTGCGGGGGTGCGCGAACGTCGTCCAGGTGATAATGGCGAAGTCGACCAACGCGGCAGCATCACGTGGCCGACGTGGTGCATCTGGTGCAACCGACGGCACGTGGCCGACCTGGCACATGCCCAATGTGCGTGACGGTGCACGACGTGCTCAACCATCTACCTGCACCTACTTGGTAGGTGCGCACATGTCCGCACAAGGACACCTGCGGTTGCAACGCTGGCAAGCCGCTTTGGTGCAGTGTTGGCAAGCCGCCCTGGCACAAGGACACTTGCGCCATTGGCAGGCCGCCGACCTGCGGCGCTGGCAAGCCGCCCTAGTGCTGCGCTGGAAGTCGACTTGCTAGGTTGTTAGGTTGCCTTGCTTCTGATGTAGTCTTCTTTGCCTAACCATTGAGTACCGTTGTTGTTCTCAATTTCTTTGCCAATTTTCCCGTCAACATAGCAAGTAGTGAAAACAAATGCAACGCTACTATCACTCGTAAAACCACGTAGCCTCCCACGTAGTCCAGCTACCACCGTTGTAGAGTGACGCTCTGCATGAACGACTCAACTCCTTGTTACATGGGTGGTTATGCCAAAACGCTGACCCCGAGTGGGACCATAGCGAGGCAGATACTTACATGGAGGGTAACCTGCTACTACAGTGACTTGCGCTGCCACTTCCGGCACAATCGCAACTTGTGGATTCACCTCGCCCACCACCACGCCCATCTCCACTACCCCCACGCCCACCAGTGCTGCAATCATGGAGGATGATTGGTGAAGGATCTTAATCTTAGTGGATATAATATCTTGAGCGACATGAGCAGAGATGTCATGCTTGGAGGTGAAATGCATGCAGGCAAGTTTGTGGGTGTCGAAAGCAGGAGCAAGGTTTTTTGTAAGGATGATGCTGGTAACGACAGAGACTGCAGCAACGGCTGCGGCAGGGGCGGGGCAGGGGTCGACACAGGAGGCGCATCCCCACGTACCGGGCCCCAAAAGTCAGCAGCCTCCTACACAGGCCCGACCGAGGAAGGGGGGTGGCGTGCGATACACCAGATGGGGCAGGACGCGGGAGGAGGGGAGAAAGCGGAGGCGTGGGACTAGAGGGGGAGTTAGAGTGAGAAAGAGGGGAGGGGGGGAACTATGGTACCTTAGTGAGGGAAACGAGTGTAGAAGTGGGCATACTTGTCAAAGGTGATGTCACAAGAGTGGAGGAAGCGGTGAGACGAAGGGTGGTAGAGCAGCGTCGAGGGGGAAACCAAGGAAGACACACAGGACAGTGCGGGGCGAGAGCTTGTCCACACGAGGGTCACGAAAGTGAGCATGGCAACCCCAGACGCAAAATGCAGGCGCAGCACAACGGGACCCACTCCTAACAAGGGTCGGCGAATTATGCGGCCGTGAGACACGGGGCCACATGTTAAGCTGGTGCGCGGCGTAGCGGACTGCAAACGGTCACAGAAAAAAGGGGGGCATTAGCAAGAGTCGTAGAGATACTAGCGATGTCCGTGACCAAGCCAATGCAACGCACATTTACCCCATTTTGATGAGGCGAGTCCGTGGAGAGGGGGGGGGGGGGGGGGGGGGTGGGGGGGGGGGGGGGGGGGGGGGGGGGGAGAGGGGGGAAGGAGAGGGGGGGGAGGCAAGGGGAAAGGGGAGGCGGCCGTCATACCAACACCAGTCGCCAGCACCAACACCAGCCACCAGCAACAGCGCCACCGACAGCGCTAGTGCTAGCATTAATCGTCGGCGCCAGCAGCACCAGCCACCCCCCTTCCCCGCCCCATCTGCGTCTGTCGTTGTGGGGGGAGGGTGAGGGGGTGGTGGGAGGGATTGTGCAGTAGACGAGAGGGGACAGCCACAGGCGGAGGAGGAGAGCAAAACAGCGGCAGTCAGTAGTAGTCAGGCAGAGCGAAACCCTAAATTGCATATGCAGGCACGGCGGCAGTCACACGGCAGACGCGACGTCAGGCGTACAGTAGGTGCGGTGGCAGGGCACGCCAGAGCGTGAGGTAGGTGCGTCAAGGCGCGGCAGGGGCAAGTGCGATAGCGGCGAGTGCGGGCGTGGGCAGCAGCGGGCCCAGGCGAGAGTGCGGGAGGTGCAGGTGCAGGCGCAGCAAGCGCAGGCGGCAGCAACGCGGGCGCGGCAGGTGCGGGCTCACGCACAGCAGGCGCGGGCACCGGGGCGTGGCAGGTGCAGTAGGCGCGGGCGCATTTGGTGCTGCAAGTGGGGGGGGGAGGAGATGGGGGGGGGGGGGGGGGGGGGGGGGGGGGGGGGGGTGGGGGGGGCGCGACAGGATCAATCGGCCATCCCTAGTGCAGGTCTTCTGACAAACACATCAGGCCATTTTCAGACTACCGTATTATACCGGATATAAGACCCCCACGATGAGAGCCCCCCCCGGGACTCTCTTGCGGAAGTGGGACTCTTATGTTGGCAAGTGTTGTGAGGACCCCTCCTTTGCCCCTAATCATTTTAAGCCCCCCCCCCCCCCCCCCCCCTCTTCCCTTAGGGGTCTGGTTGAATCTACAGAAATTGACTTACATCAATTATACGTTCAAGCACAACATGGTCCTCTAAAAGAACAAGTTACAGCACTAGGGTTGTTAACGTTGAACCATCTTGACAAGGTTTAAGCTCTCAGGCCCTACTCCTCTTCCACCCCCCTACTCCTCACTCCTCGTCCTCGTCCTCCTCCACCTCCCCCCCCCCCCCCCACCCCCTCCTCCTCCTCCTCCTCCTCCTCCTCCTCCTCCTCCTCCTCCTCCTCTTCCTCCTCTGGCATGTCCCCGCAGTCCATGATGATGTGCTCAGGTACGGCCGCCCAAGCGGCCGCAATCCACTTAAGGACCAGCTCCGCAGGAGGATTCTTCAGGTTTCCTGCGTAGCCCACGGTTAGGGAGGATAAGGGGGAGGGAGTGGGCACATTAACACCAAGAACACGCAGGTGCTAGGGCTCAGACACCTACACATGCAAGAAACATTATACAGTATTCATGTCACTCAAGCACCTGCTGGCGTGAAGGTGTTGACGCCGAATTCGGCAAACCACTCGTTGTAGAGCTGCCGCGGCACCGTCTTGAACGAGCGGTTGACGCTCACATCAAGGGGCTGCAGCAGTGGGGTGCACTCCCTCGGGATGATAGCTGGGATAATCTGGTTCCACCTCAAGTTCGCTAGCACGCAGTCCATGCGGTGCCCCCGGTACGAGTCCAAGACAAGAAGGGTTTTGGACCGAAAGATGACACGTGGAGGCTTAACGAACGGCAGCAGAAGCTTGATCACCCAGTTGTCCACGATGTTGGCATCCATCCAACCCTACTCCTGAGCACAGATGACGACCCATGCGATGCATTAAGAGTATTTGTTAGCAGTCCGCCACGGTCAATGCCTTTAACGAAGGCAACCAAGTTCAAATCTCACCTGCAGGCACACAGACCTTGGGTATGGTTGCGCTTGAAGATGACCATAGAAGGAAGCTTGCGGCCGCCCACCGTGAAGTATCACCGTCACCCTCTTCTTCTCGTAGCCCACGCTTCGGACGTGCACCGTCTTCTCACCGCGGTGATGACGGGTGCGCTCACTTAGCATCTCCAAGAAAAACGGGGGTTTGGTCGGCGTTGATTATGTTCCAGGGTCAATGCCCCACTTGATGATATTCTTCCGGACGAACGCCCAGAATGCCTCGCACTTCGGCTTGCACTTTGCAAAAAAAAAAAAACGACAGCACAAGTTAGTGTGTAGGAGAGCCATGGTGGGTGTATTCACGGGATAACATCATTACAAGGGACGAGCGAGGAGCGGACATTTCACCGACCTTTCGCGAGCCACTGTCCCATCTTCGTTATCACACGGATGGAAAGGCCTCACCGTGCACGGAAGCGGAAGGTCCACCTGGCGGAGGCCATCCACTTGACATCGAGGTAGTGAGCCTTCATGAACATGCGGCTCCACTGCTTGAGCAGACTGATAGGTACTGCTAACCCCCGGCCGCGAAAGTTGAGAAGCTTCTTGCACACGACGATCTCCATGCCCGAGTACTTCGTCTTCCTCCCTCCCCCACTGAGGCGGCGCCTGCACGGTGCCGCTTTTTTTATCCGCGCCGCCACCTTGAGCCATCGGCGGACACTGATGGGCTGCACCCCCGCCAGACGTGCGGGTTGGCGTATGGAGAGGTTCTCTTCCTCCATCCGCGCAAGCCACTGCTGTTCTCTCCCATAGTACGCGACGTGCGACCGTGTGTTGTCTTGCGAGCCCGGGGACTTGAAGGCGCTCCGTTAGTCCGGGCTTCCGGCCCTTGTCGTCGTAGTCCGAATCCTCGGAAAACACGAGGACCGGGAATTCCCCGACATCGTCTTCCATCTCGTCATTCTCAGCGCCTTCTTTGTCCTCGGCGAGGGGTTCGAGAAACCCCTCATCATCGAAAGGTTCGAAGGGAGGTGTTGTGCGGTAGTCGACGAAAGCCGGGGGAAGCACAGGGGACGCAGGAGGCGCTAGAGGAGCCGCAGGGGGGGGGGGGGGGGCGGGAGGTGCAGGTGGTGTTGGCGGGGACGGCCTAGTAATCAGCACGACTGCTGGCTGCCCAGACGCACTACCTAAAATCGAACGGCGCGAACGTCAGGGGCTTTTAAAAGCCAACATGTCTGTAAACTATGCCAATACTACAGGCTACGCCTTGCATGAGTGTGAGGAGCCATAGCGTCTAACTTGTAATGCGGTGGGATGCTAGATCTAAAACCGAACTCGCACACACAATGTGGGAGCAGTAATTCACATGCTCGGCTGACGCTGGGACGTGAACCTCGTTGAGCACCACGTCCAGCGCATGTCCCACCCTTGTGGCAGGATGGGATAAATATGGTGCTCAGGACCATGACGTGGCGAGCTAGAGGGACTGTTCAGTCAATGTGATGTGCGGTTCGCCAAAAGTGTAGGAGAAACCGGCGTCATGCCTTGTCGCTCGACGCATGTCATTCGCGACTTCACGCGCGCGGTGCTGCAAGCGAGGGATTTGGATGTGTAAAATAAAAGCCCCCCCTCCTCCTCCCCCCCTCCCCTCCCTCTTCCCCCCCCTCCTCCTCCTCGGTAAACGAACGGTACACCCTAAATCGAATAACATCAATAGACGAATAAATGTACCCGGGAATAAAATAACTCTTGCCACCTACATGTTCACCCTAATTTTGTTTTAGTGAATTTGTAGAGAGTCCCTCGGGTCCTATAGCCGGGAGATGACGGTACTCAAGTCAGTGTTAAGAATAGAACTAGGAAAAATGGATGATGGAACTAGGCAAGAGATGAGTACAAGTAGGGGAAACCTAACCCTAAAGTATTGTACTCACTAAGGAGTGACCCTACCGTAGCCTAGAGACACAATTGTAATTTGACACACCCCCATAGGCAAAGTAGGGGATAGCAAACACAACTAGCGGTCACAAGACCAGTCTGCAGAAGAGAACACAGCTCAGGGTGGATCACAAGGTCACCACGCATTCTGAGCACAAGCAAGTGGCCACAAGGCCAGTTCACATGTAGAGGTATATAATAGCAAGGCGGTACACTGATCACAACCTAGCAAGAGAAAACATGCAGGTATAAAGATATATAGCAGTGTACAACAAGAGCAATTCAAGCAACCAGCAGGTGAGGCAGAGTGCGCACAAGCCCAAGAGCAGTGCAGAAACGCTGATGATCACCAGACCCAAGGGCCTTGGTGAAGACATCAGCAGTGTTGGCCCGAGAGGCCACGTAAGCAAGGCGCAGCTGACCACGCTGCTGCAGCTCACGCGCAAGGAAGTAGCGAAGAGCAATGTGCTTCGTTCTGTGCTCCAGTCTCTGCTCGCGACACAAGGCAAGCATTGCCTTGCTGTCGACGTACATGACTGGAGGAGAACGAGGCCGCTCCCCCAAGTCGGTCAGCAGGTAGGTCAGCCAGCGGAGCTCCTGTGCAGCCATGGCCCCAGCGTAGATCTCGGCCTCATAGCTGGAACCAAGCACAGAAGAAGAACGACTGGACCTCTACGCGACAGAACCAGAGCCAAGACTGAAGGTGTAACCCTAGGACGAACGCTGAGTCGCCTGGTCGTCGGCCCAAGAAGCGTCAGAGTGTCCTATGAGGACCACCGAACCCCGTCCTCCAAGCACGAGCCCCATGCCCGATCTGCTGCACAAGTAACGCAGTACCCTCTTCGCATCATCAAAGTGCACCTTTCGGTGTCTACCGGGTGCCACGTAGCGAGCCAGAAGGCTGAGAGGGTACGCGAGGTCAGGTCGTGTGCACGTCATCAGGTACATGAGGCAACCCACAAGCTCTGGGTACGAACCACTCGGCTCTACGGACTCGTCCGAAGGTGGAGCTGAGAGCGAGTGGCCGGTAGCCAGAGGAGTGGGCTGTGGCGAGGAGTACGTGAAGCGGAAGCGCTGAAGGACCTGGTGCACCATGTGTAACTGAGTCAGGGTGATGGTGCGCCGTGCTCTGTCCCGGGTGATCTGCAAGCCAACATAGCTCCGCAGCTCACCCAGGTTAGTGCAGGTGTGTCTCTCCTGCAGCTCCGCCTTCACTAGGGCCAGTGCCTCAGTGTCAGCAGTAGCAAAAACCAAGTCGTCAACGTACACGAGGATGTAGAACGGCGGCAGAGAAGTGTCGGTGCGTAGAAACAGCGACGGGTCAGCAGTCGAAGAGAGCCGCAAGTGTCGTCCTCAGTGTGTCGTGCCACTCGCGGGGCGCCTGACGCAGGCCGCACACTGGTCGCCGTAGGCTCCACTGGGTACCCTCAGGAAACGACCCAGTGAAGCCCTGTGGACGGCGCAACCAGATGGCCTCGTGAAGGCTACCCTGCAAGAAAGCTGTCGAGAAGTCGAGGGAGTGCAGCTCGTAGTCACGCTAAGCTGCAACGTGTAGCAACACCCGAAGAGTGGTCATCTTCGGGGTGGGGGAGAAGGTCTGAAAGAAGTCGACCCCCGCACGCTGACTGAAGCCTCGAGCAACGTAACGTGCCTTGAAGGCAGGCGGAGAACCCGGCGGCCGCTTCACCTTGAAATTCCACATGCCACTGACGATGTTCGCCCCAGGTGGAGGAACCTCGTCGACGTAGGTGCATGTGGACTTCCAGGAAGCCATCTCTGCGTCCATGGCTGTCTGCCACTGAGAGGAGTACTCACCCGAAATCGCCATCGAGGTAGTGAGCCTTCATGAACATGCGGCTCCACTGCTTGAGCAGACTGATAGGTACTGCTAACCCCCGGCCGCGAAAGTTGAGAAGCTTCTTGCACACGACGATCTCCATGCCCGAGTACTTCGTCTTCCTCCCTCCCCCACTGAGGCGGCGCCTGCACGGTGCCGCTTTTTTTATCCGCGCCGCCACCTTGAGCCATCGGCGGACACTGATGGGCTGCACCCCCGCCAGACGTGCGGGTTGGCGTATGGAGAGGTTCTCTTCCTCCATCCGCGCAAGCCACTGCTGTTCTCTCCCATAGTACGCGACGTGCGACCGTGTGTTGTCTTGCGAGCCCGGGGACTTGAAGGCGCTCCGTTAGTCCGGGCTTCCGGCCCTTGTCGTCGTAGTCCGAATCCTCGGAAAACACGAGGACCGGGAATTCCCCGACATCGTCTTCCATCTCGTCATTCTCAGCGCCTTCTTTGTCCTCGGCGAGGGGTTCGAGAAACCCCTCATCATCGAAAGGTTCGAAGGGAGGTGTTGTGCGGTAGTCGACGAAAGCCGGGGGAAGCACAGGGGACGCAGGAGGCGCTAGAGGAGCCGCAGGGGGGGGGGGGGGGGCGGGAGGTGCAGGTGGTGTTGGCGGGGACGGCCTAGTAATCAGCACGACTGCTGGCTGCCCAGACGCACTACCTAAAATCGAACGGCGCGAACGTCAGGGGCTTTTAAAAGCCAACATGTCTGTAAACTATGCCAATACTACAGGCTACGCCTTGCATGAGTGTGAGGAGCCATAGCGTCTAACTTGTAATGCGGTGGGATGCTAGATCTAAAACCGAACTCGCACACACAATGTGGGAGCAGTAATTCACATGCTCGGCTGACGCTGGGACGTGAACCTCGTTGAGCACCACGTCCAGCGCATGTCCCACCCTTGTGGCAGGATGGGATAAATATGGTGCTCAGGACCATGACGTGGCGAGCTAGAGGGACTGTTCAGTCAATGTGATGTGCGGTTCGCCAAAAGTGTAGGAGAAACCGGCGTCATGCCTTGTCGCTCGACGCATGTCATTCGCGACTTCACGCGCGCGGTGCTGCAAGCGAGGGATTTGGATGTGTAAAATAAAAGCCCCCCCTCCTCCTCCCCCCCTCCCCTCCCTCTTCCCCCCCCTCCTCCTCCTCGGTAAACGAACGGTACACCCTAAATCGAATAACATCAATAGACGAATAAATGTACCCGGGAATAAAATAACTCTTGCCACCTACATGTTCACCCTAATTTTGTTTTAGTGAATTTGTAGAGAGTCCCTCGGGTCCTATAGCCGGGAGATGACGGTACTCAAGTCAGTGTTAAGAATAGAACTAGGAAAAATGGATGATGGAACTAGGCAAGAGATGAGTACAAGTAGGGGAAACCTAACCCTAAAGTATTGTACTCACTAAGGAGTGACCCTACCGTAGCCTAGAGACACAATTGTAATTTGACACACCCCCATAGGCAAAGTAGGGGATAGCAAACACAACTAGCGGTCACAAGACCAGTCTGCAGAAGAGAACACAGCTCAGGGTGGATCACAAGGTCACCACGCATTCTGAGCACAAGCAAGTGGCCACAAGGCCAGTTCACATGTAGAGGTATATAATAGCAAGGCGGTACACTGATCACAACCTAGCAAGAGAAAACATGCAGGTATAAAGATATATAGCAGTGTACAACAAGAGCAATTCAAGCAACCAGCAGGTGAGGCAGAGTGCGCACAAGCCCAAGAGCAGTGCAGAAACGCTGATGATCACCAGACCCAAGGGCCTTGGTGAAGACATCAGCAGTGTTGGCCCGAGAGGCCACGTAAGCAAGGCGCAGCTGACCACGCTGCTGCAGCTCACGCGCAAGGAAGTAGCGAAGAGCAATGTGCTTCGTTCTGTGCTCCAGTCTCTGCTCGCGACACAAGGCAAGCATTGCCTTGCTGTCGACGTACATGACTGGAGGAGAACGAGGCCGCTCCCCCAAGTCGGTCAGCAGGTAGGTCAGCCAGCGGAGCTCCTGTGCAGCCATGGCCCCAGCGTAGATCTCGGCCTCATAGCTGGAACCAAGCACAGAAGAAGAACGACTGGACCTCTACGCGACAGAACCAGAGCCAAGACTGAAGGTGTAACCCTAGGACGAACGCTGAGTCGCCTGGTCGTCGGCCCAAGAAGCGTCAGAGTGTCCTATGAGGACCACCGAACCCCGTCCTCCAAGCACGAGCCCCATGCCCGATCTGCTGCACAAGTAACGCAGTACCCTCTTCGCATCATCAAAGTGCACCTTTCGGTGTCTACCGGGTGCCACGTAGCGAGCCAGAAGGCTGAGAGGGTACGCGAGGTCAGGTCGTGTGCACGTCATCAGGTACATGAGGCAACCCACAAGCTCTGGGTACGAACCACTCGGCTCTACGGACTCGTCCGAAGGTGGAGCTGAGAGCGAGTGGCCGGTAGCCAGAGGAGTGGGCTGTGGCGAGGAGTACGTGAAGCGGAAGCGCTGAAGGACCTGGTGCACCATGTGTAACTGAGTCAGGGTGATGGTGCGCCGTGCTCTGTCCCGGGTGATCTGCAAGCCAACATAGCTCCGCAGCTCACCCAGGTTAGTGCAGGTGTGTCTCTCCTGCAGCTCCGCCTTCACTAGGGCCAGTGCCTCAGTGTCAGCAGTAGCAAAAACCAAGTCGTCAACGTACACGAGG